AACTTCAAAATCGTTAAAATTCATGGCTCCCGCCGCTTTGCGCGGATATACAACTAGTAATCTTGAAAATTATAGGTTTGTTAAAAATATCTTCATTTTATGTTCAAATATTATAAACAAAATAACATCCATCATAAAAATAGATTAAAGTAAGAACCAATGAAATTAGGTATATCGTAATAAATTTTGAAATATAAAACACACTATAATCAAGTTAACATAATAAAACATTTTGAATAATAAAACGGAATTTTTTTACCATTACATTTCATGAATGAAATGGTTTCACCGTTTCATCAATACACAAATCAACCTATTGCTAGAGAAGACATCTGCCATTGTCATGTTTTCAGTACATGGATCTGTTTCAATCTTATAATGAAATAGTTTCACTGTTTATCAAATACACACCATTTTCTTAACATTAATATATCAACCATTACAATAATCATTATATGAACTTGTTTCATAATTATAACATTTTACACATTATATGAAACAACAGTTATCGTCATGCATTTTTATGGTTTCATTGTTTGCTTCCATTAATCATTTTTATTGTCAAACTATTTAATATTGTTTACGTTTCAAAACTTATAGGAAACAAGATTATTCAAAAAATTATATTATGCAACAAGTTCATTCATAAAATTTTCGAAATATGAACAAATTGCATTAAATTAGTGCCTTTTTTTCAATTAAATTAGTGCCCTTTTTCTAATAAAAAATATTTTGTATCATAATAAGTTATACAACAATTTCATCCATAAAAGTTTTGATATCTGAACACGTTTCATTAAGTTACTGCATCTATCATACCATACAAATTCATAACCACTAAGAGAACAAATTTGTAACACCCTAAAAAAATTTATTATTCGTAAAATAAATAAATGTTAAGGGTTAAAATTTAAAGAGTAAACGACATACGGGATTAAAGTGTCGATACTCGAAAAATATGATTTTATTGCAATAAATAAAATCATTTGAAAAAAAAACATTTTGAATTTAATTGATTTGGGATGAAAATGCAGAAAGAAAAACAAAAGGGACTATTTCTGCCAAAAGTAGAAAATTWATTTGGAAGTGATGAGATTTGGAAATCATTTCCCAAAATCTCGTTTTTCTTGTTTTAGAGATGGTTAACGGCTTATAAATTGGATTTTTCGGCTGAATTTTTGTGGAGATGTTCCTAATAATGTAAGAGAGTAAACGTCTTTGGAATTTCGAGATTTCATGAAGAAAGGAGAGAGATATCGAGTTTGAAGCGGCATAGGGTCATTCCGCATAAAAACGGTGATTGGAGGTAAAATACTCAACCAAAATTGATGTATAATATATGGTTGGCTTTGTTTTTCAATTACCTTTCTGTTGGTACAAGTCTCGTGGGCTATGGTGACTTGTATGTCGAGCGGTTTAGGCTAGAAGCTGCTGTGGCGGCGGCTCGACGAGATTCGGGTACAAAAAAACTCAAAATACGAGTTTAATATTGAACAGTAGGGGCTGTAAATTTGGGTGCGAGTTGGGATTATTATTATGTATAAGATTTTGTAAAAAGTTTGGTGAAAAATGATCGAAAAAAATATCTCAAACGAAAATCGTTCACGATAGCCGCACCAAGGGTGCGACCGGGTTGGGCCGGGCGTCGAGTTGAGTCGGCCGACACTAGACCAAGTTTAGGCCATGACCGACTTGTTTTGGTYGAGTTCGGTTAGACTCGAGTTGTTTTGATTTGTTAAAAAGAGATTTGAGGCTTGTTGATTTACTTGGATTAATCGAAATAAATCGGGATGTTTCGATTAAGTTGGTCAATATTTGGACATCAATTGTAAAGATTATTAATTAATTGGATTTCCATATTTAAATTATAAGAAATAATTTAGTAACTTATTTCGGGAGTTGTGACTAGATAATTGTGGGATCGTACGTTTTTATAACGAGAATCGTATATAATTAAATGTTGGGTTTAATACGTCGTAATTTATTTTGGATGTGAAAAGAATTCCATTAGGGAGGGGGGTATATGGCGACGATGTATACTTGGGGTTGACCCGTTGACCATTCTTACCCCAAAGTTGACCTATTTGACTTTCGGGTTGACTTTTTGGGGAAATGTCAATACTCTAATTATTGAAATATAATTACATGTTATAGGATATTACTCAGGGACGAGGTTTAGCCAAACAGAGCTATTCAGGTGAGTATTCATGAGATTTTAATTGGGATGCATGCTTATGTACAAATTATTTGAGCATTACAATATTATTTTTATGTACATGTTTATGGGTTTAATACATGTATATGAATTATTATTGTGGGTTGCATGCTATTTGTTTGCATGTTTTCTTTTAAAAACATCAATTAGCTTGTTATTTTATTTTGTCGGGTATGAGAAGGGGTCAAAAGTCATAAGGGATGGTACATCCTAAGGAGGGGTAACCGGACAAGGGATAGCCGTGTAACCCGGGGAAGTGCCGATGACGGTAAGACCTTAACCCGATGGAAAATTAAGAGATCTCATTATTATTTCAAAAGGGTTTGAAACAAATGTGCATATTATTTTATTTGGGGCATTGTTTGTTTTATGCATGATGAGGTTTGTATGATTGTGCACAAAAACCATGAACTCACCGAGCTTTATAAAGCTGACTATTAGTATGCATATCAGGTGCAAGAGATTCAAGGGTGGACAAGAGCGAGGTTCTCTTCTAGATAATTATATTATTGTTATATTTCGGATGGTTAGGTTTATGCTTAAACTCATTTTGTAATGTAACTCGATATGGGACGGGTTAGCGTTGAGTTATTAATTTTAATTGAATTTGTAAGACTTCCGCTGTAATAAGGCTTTATTAGCCACTATATTTTGGGGTTATTTATTATTACTTAATGAGAATTACGTGACACAACTCATGGTGAAAATGAGGGTGTTACAAAAATCACAAATAAAAAAAAGATTTGAAACAATTTCATCAACAATTGTTGATAAGATCAAACAATAACTGATTTTAAAATTCATTTTTTAATCAATATAATCGTGAAAATAAATAAAACATATTTATTGTGAAAAAACTAAATTAAGAAAAAGATTAAACTCCTACCATATTAAACATTTCATTTCTTATGTTTCTAAAATTAACAAAATTTAATACCTTCCAATATTAATCAAAAAACAATGTAAATGACTATTAAACCCTTAATAATTAAAATTAATTAAAAAAAAACAGAATTTTTCTATTGGTCGAAATTGGTTTGTATGATTTTTAAGAATTGAACGGTTTTCAACGTAATCCGCATATAGAAATATATATTATTAAAAAAAATATTATTTATCAATTTCTGAAAACAAAATTAAGGAAATACATACAAAGTAAAATACCCCTTAACGGAAAAAATCTAACAGATGTAAGTTGAGGGACGATTTTGGAAGCAAAATGAAAACAATAAGAACGTTAATTGTAGTTATTGAAGTCTAGGGACTACTTTAAAAGATTCGTATATAGCACAAGTACCGAAATTGTAGTTTACTCATTTTCCTAATAACACAAACCCAAATTGATTATATATATAAAAATCCAACAACCATTAATTAATTGTGTGTTTGATGTAAATTGTTGTTTTTTTACCACAAGACAAAAAAAGGGGTTCCATGTTTGGATTGCGGTTGTAACTGGTCATTCTCATAAACTATTAATTATTGCTTCTTCTTTCCATTTCCTTCCTCCGCATTCCCTGCCGTCTTCTTCCTCCCATATATCACCACCAGACGCAGGGAGCCTTCTATCTGGTTGCAATCCTATATCTTTTTCACACGATCATATATATGAATTAACCCATATCAATTTCATCTTAATTTTCTTTTATTAATTTCAACATTCATCAACCTCTATATATATATATATATATATATTTGGAAGCTTTATCAAACTTTAAGGGAAGGGCTTCCTTCTCCGTTTGGAATGCATTCAAAGATCTTGAAAGCCCATGATGTTCTTTTAACATGGTCCAATATATCATCAAGACCATAAAACATGATTATTCATTCTATTTCTAAGGAGAAACCTGTCATGTCATATATACATGTGATCCAAGTATCACTTTCTTGATCCATGAGCTCCGTCCCAATGTCGCTTCTAAATTCATGGAACCTAGCTAGAGACAAGTTCTAAATGCATCAGGACAAATTATTGGAAAGTGAAACATGCCTTAGCAAAGATGGTTGTAATTAAGAGGCCGGGTTTCAAGACATAAAATCTCTAGATCAAGTGGTCAACTAACATTGCAAAAGCAGTCTTTTGCATATGGATGGATACTCTTGTCTCTTTATTCTACTCACCTGCAATCATATTGGCCAACCAGATGCTTTCTATAAACTCTTAATTAACACATGTTAATTTCTTGTGCAGTTAGATACCACTAGAGCATTACCTACGAGGATGGGTGTCAGCTTTAGATATTGGGATGATTGTGTCGATCCCCAGGACATGCAAGAAATGTGGATGGATCCTGATGTCAGTGCTGAATGGATAACTGCTGGGGAGACTGTAGGATCAAAGGTTCACCTGTCACGTGATACTGATGGCCAGCCTTATTTGACACAAAATGAGATGAAGGTTAAACGATTTAAATCATTACATTGTTTATTAGTCGGATTGAGCTTCTGCTTATAAACTGAATTATCAAAATTATATATCCACCATCTGCAGGCTTAAAGAAAGTCTAAAATTTACATCGTAATATATACATCTCATTACGTAAAAAAGGTTTTACATGGATTTCTATCAAATCCTTTCATTGAACATACATACAGTTGTTAGTCTCCACTTCTTCCTTGACAAAGTTGAAGTTTCTCAGCTATTTATTTGTCTCTCATATAGGATGCTTCATTTTCAGGCTGTGGCTGGGATTATTGTTCACAGGCATTTTATATCAGAGATAGATTCGGTACATTTTATAGTTTGAGCTATTTATCACTCATACATTTCCAACAAAATATTGTCAGCTATCATATTCCCATTGTTGACCTCCCTTTTCTGCATCGGTTTTCTCAACATCCCATATTTATGGTCTGTAGATAAATACCTTATTTTGCATCAAGTTTCTAGGATATGTTTGGTAAGGCTCTAGTCATGTGGCTTGGAATTGTAGCAAAAGCAATTTAAGATTTGAACAAACCAAACTGCAATCCATACCTGATTGTTTGCATTGGGTTTCCTGACTTATATTTCTCAAAAGAATGACCCCTGATGTCTTTCTGATGTATTTTTTAAAGCGCTCCTGTGTGGCTAAGAAAGTTCACATTTTGTTTGGTTTTGGTACCATTTTTCCACCTTGATCTTGTTTCCATGATACTGTCTTTGTTTTGTTTTTCCTCATTTTCTTCAGTCCTTTTCTCAGTAGCTATCTCTACCTACCATTTGTGCTTGACTAGTCATTTTAGTTTTCAGTGAAGTCTCTACCCAAAAAGAGAAATGGGCAAAGATGGTTGTTGAACACTGTTTTGCCAAGTTATACATTATAAATCCAAACATACTTGAACTTCAATTTTTGGATGTCTGCAGTTTGGGAGTAAAACTTTATCCTTATTTTCAACACATTAGTGATTAGATTCGTGATGGTTAGGATACTGTCAGATGGCAGATCAGCGACTTATGCAGCTAAGGACCAAGTACAAATATAGATTCTGCTTTGCTATGTTATGCAGGATATGCTTTGTGCTATTGGTCAGCTTGAAAGTGATCGACATCTGCTGACTACAAGTTATAATAAAAAAAGTAAAGCCTCGGCAATTGGGATCATGCAAATTTTACCAAAAACTGCTGAGTGGCTAATTAGGTACTAACTAAATCTTGTGATTCTGACCATACAAAAGGGTTGACTGCTTAACCCGAATCAAGCAGTTGTTTTTTTTTCTCCTGTAGACCCCTCTCTCCTCCCCCTAAATCTGCCGGAGCATATAATTGTAAACTCAAATTGCTTTTTGCAGTGAGCTGGGTTACAATGAATATGATTTGCATGGCGATTCAGATCTTCTCTACAAGCCTTTCATAAACCTATATCTAGGTGCTGCCTATCTCAAGTGGTTATCATATTATGGAAACAAGTGAGTCCGAAAGTTGCATCACATTTTCATATTCTGCATGCACAGACACACACAAGAACATGTTTATTGCCTTCTCTGCTGACTCTTACATCTAGGATTTTAAGAAGAAGTTGATCTTGCAGAGAAAGAAGTGAAGAGTTCATGGTGAGGTCTTATCACGGGGGTGTAAAGAAAGCTACACATAAATCAACATTGGCATACTGGAAACGATATCTTTCTGTCAAGGAAAGCCTTCCATCCAGGTCATAGATCCCATTCCTATAACTATTCAGCGAGCCTACCTCTAGATTTTCCATCTATATAGTAGTTGTGTTGACGCACAACATATCAAAGATAAAACTCAAGTGAGACTATAGGTAACATCATGAAATTATTGATTGGATATGGTGTTTCTAAAACATCATCATCTTTCTGGTGCAAACTAAATGCTCTCTTCCTCTAAAAATAAGTGCCTACATTTTCTGACTGGACTTTTCAACTTAACACTTTCGATATCACCCAAATTTTCTTTTGGTACAATTGTTTTTGGCCACCCCCTGGAGTGCCCTTGTTGATCCTGACTTGGGACCAACAACCCCCACCATGCCAGTCCCACAATCATCACCAGGAGGGTAAGTCGCATAGATCCCAGACAGCAAAAGGTGGTGGCCAGGTTCGAACCTGAGACCTCACACATGGACTACACCAACACCTTTGCCTCTATGACAGATCTGTTAAAATTATAAGCGAAGTCATGTGATTATCTATAAGTTATCTTGTTTATCATAGTTTATAGGTTATTAGCGACAGTTTTTATTTGGTGGTTATTTACCAACAGTTGTGTTGGTTCATAAACCATATGTTGGTTAACTGTCTGTCGCTTCATATGTRTATATATATATGTGTTTCTTGAATAGAAAAATTTGCTGCAGTAATAATAAGAATATCCTTTGATCTCCAGCCCTGTTTTTCTGTGTTGTTTCTTATTTTGATCCAACAAAGTGGTATCAAAGCCACGGTTCATTGACAGAAACTGTGCGAAGGAATTGACGAAAAAATCGGGTTCATTGACAGAAACTGTGCGAAGGAATTGACGAAAAAATCGTAGATGGCTTCTCAAAACAACAATCTATTACAGCCCCAACTTCCAAAGTTGARTGGTAGAAATTACCATCATTGGAGCATACAGATGAAGGTTCTGTATGAATCTCAAGATCTGTGGAACATCGTCGAGAATGGTGTAAACGAACCATCAAACCAAACGGGTTTGACTGCACAACAAACCACAGAACTGAAGGAAAATAAGAAAAAAGATAGGAAAGCATTATTCTTCATTTATCAAGCAGTAGATGAGGCCATATTTGAGAGGATCTCAACGTAAGATCTAGGGGACAAATCAATCTGAATTGATAATAGTGTGCTTTTATGGATCTATCTTATAACTAGTAAGAAGGATCAAATTTTTTTCAAGGGGAGGGGTGATCATCTCCTAATTGTTCATTCATTTCCATTGGGACACTCAATTGTAGGAGGGAGGTACTAGTTAGCTAGTTCTTCTTGTTTGCAATCATACAGATTGATCTTCAATTCATCAATGGTCCAGTGGAAAGACGAAGCAGTAAATACTTAAGCTGTTATATGTAAACATTATGGTGGAAAAACTGTTATTGTCATTGCCTTATTAGTGGAAACCTGCATCCAATTGTCAAATAGTCACTAATCGAACATGTTATCCAGCATATTAAGTATAAAGTTTAGACTCTTGGACCATTGTATTGGGTTCTTCACCAACTCCTGAGGACATCCGCTTTGCATCTTACAGTCTTTTCATAATTTCAGCATATCCAGAGGGATATGTTTGGTGTGCATACAGAAGGATGAACTTTCCAATTTACATAGTTTTACATTCTTAAATGTCTTTTGACCCAAAGAAAAAATATGTGAGAGGTGGGTTAATTTAGCAACGATGACTCTGATGGGTAGGATTACAAGAATTGGATGAACTTAATTCTTTTTCTTGTACCAAACCTTTAACATCTGACTCTTCAGGACTAGCTGAATTGGTAGGATTAGCATGCATATACTGCAGGACATCTAATTAATTAAAGTTTCCTTGCGACCTCCAAAATATTTTTGAACCTGTGAAACATTTGTTTTACATTCTTTTTTCCACTGATTCCAGCATAGTCGTCAAATATCAGGTCCCCTTCTTTTATCCAATGTGGATTCTATTTTAAACTTCTCTTTTAATGAAATAAACATCTAGGACTAGGCCTAATGAGCCAACTAAGGCAACATGTTGAATTCCTCAATGATCCTCTTGCATTTTGTTGCAGATCTTTTTTTCATCATCCTATTACAAGATCTGACCTAGGCTGATCATGACTAGGACTTGAGAGTGCTCGGTTTGTATATGTATATCTTTTAGTGTAATACATAAAAGAGTAACTGGTAGCACCATATTTATTAATCCGGACTGCCGGGGTGATTTGAATAGCAAGTTTTCAAAGCATATAACAATGAAATTAGATCTAGAAGAGGAAAAAACATCGTTATGATTTGTTCATTTATAAGTGAACTTGATTTGATGTCAATATATATGTTTTCTGCAGACAAATTTTCAAAGTTGATACCTTGCTTATGCCTAATGATTCTGCTTCTGGTACTGCATCTTCAAACACTCAAGGTACAACTTAACCCTATGATGCCACTTATTTTATTTGCATATAGTCCCCAAAAGAAATCCCTTGTCTTTCACCATACTTTTAGTAGGGGATCCTTTTATAATTAATGGGTCGTTGATGGGTTATTGCTTGTTCAGTTGGTTTATAGAACATTTTCGATCTCAACATCAATGAACATTTTTCTTCATTGGATCTATTATCTGTGTATAAGTCTAGTGTAAATTGTACTTTATATATAGAGTGTTATTAACATGACCAACTTTTTGAATTGTTTGCATAGTACCTATCAATGTGACATGGGAGTCGAGGGCTTCTCCAGAAGACATGGAGTATATGTGGAATAACCCTGTCGTCAACAAGGAGTGGACAAAATCTGGAGAGAAACGGGGGAGGGTACGGATTTCTCATGATAGCGAGAGGAGACCATATCTTTCTCGGATAGAACTCAAGGTAAGCTGAATAAAGTATCATATGCATGGCAAAGGTTATAGTTTCCCTCAGGTTTTCAGTTTATGCTGAATTGACAAATTCCCTGGTTATGGGACTTGTGTTTGTTCTGTTGCCTTGGACATTAGCAAGACATTCTTTTTGAGGGAATCATATCGTAGACAAAGTTTTCTTGCACCAACAATTTAACAACTTACTTTGTATTTACAACTTTTATAGATCATTTTGTCAGTCAAATATAGCATTTATGAGTTCATTCAATACATATTGGCTTGTTAATTAAAATTCAGAAAAGAGAATTTCTCAGCATGAATGGAATGTGTATGAAGCATACCAGCCTCGGATCATGAGCACACTGCTAATATTTTCTGTTTTGTACCAGGGAGTTGCAGAAACGGTTGTGTCCAAGCACTTTAGCACGAATGGAGTGAAGCCGGTAAGTAGGCACATTTAACATAAGATGTCATAATAACCATTCAAATGCATACTGAAATCCGAGAAGTTGAATAATGCATCCAATCATCCAGATTAGAATGGCTGCATGATGAAACTCCTCCCTAATATATATATATATGTCCTGGAATATAGGATAGGAACCATGCATGTTAAACACATGTTGATGGAGAAATACATGTTTATTTAACACTGTCACAAGATAGCATGTGTTAAGTTGCTTCAAATGTCATACTTATTTAATATAGTACTATCATGTACTGATCTGATCCATTAAGTGTATATATTTATACTGGACAGACGATTTTATGTGCTATTGCGGAGATTATTAGCAAGCGTTATGTGAATGGCATAGGGCAACGTACAGGGTTAATGGGCATTGACTATCCTACTGCTTGTTGGATATACAGGTGACTAAGCTAGTTGTTGTTTGGTGATATATATATATACATATATATATATATATAGAGAGAGAGAGAGAGCGCTAGTTAGTATAGTAGTGTTTAATTAATTATGAATGAAGCATAATAATGTAAAATTAATAAATGTGATGTGTGCCGAAGGGACTTGGGGTACAGGGCCTACAAAGTAGAGTCATTCGATGATCTCACAAAACCATTTGTTTCCATGTATTTTGGGGCAGCGTATCTGATGTGGTTATCGGAATATGAAGGGAGGTGGGTAATTTTCATCTGTTTCAATTAATATTAAGCTCTTTGTGATTGATGATGATGATGATGATGATGATGATGATATGTACTATATAGGAAGCGGAGCATCCAGTTTATGGTTCAAGCTTATATATCGGGGCCAAAGAATTTGAAGCTTGAAAAGGCAAATCCTATGTGGCTCAAGTTCGAGGAGGCATTGGGTCGATATGAAGGTCTGATGAAGTAAGTAGTAAGTTTGCATACAAATTAACATGGAACTTTCTTGTAAGGTCTTATATACCTATGCATATATTATATGATCCTTGCAGAGAACAAGGAAGCTGCTCCATACTATAAGTATAAGCCAAGCCATGGCAGGTCTCTATTTGTAAAACCTTCTCTGTTGTAATCTGATTCATGCCAAACATGATATAATAAATCTCATGATTGCATCTTGGTTTTCAAAGTCTCATCTTATTCTTATTCTTATATATATATGCAACTTTACATTTGAAACCTACCAAATATATAATTTTATTTCATAATTTCATCAAAATCAAATAGTTTTAAAATATCAATGTGTTAGATACATTTAGGTTCAAAATGTTATCCATTATCAAAAACAATGTTACCATGTCTATCAATCTCGGATAAACTTATATATACTCTTCATTCTTTTTTATTTGAGAATCTCACATACACCTTATATATTATTATTATTATTATTGGTGTATGTGAACATAATCTTATACAACTTTCCAATATTAATTTTAACATAATGTTTTCATTTAATAAGATATGTATACCAAATTATTATAGAGTTATATGTTTAATAAACTTTGAAATAATATTAAAAGCTGAGTGTTTCCTTCCAACAATCAACATGTTTAAAAATAAATAAATCTGATTTCATTGAGAAGAAGAAGGTGGTGTAAGATAAAGGATTACAAGTTGAGGGACTTTAACTGTAAAATATCCATTCCTAAGGAAGAACCTCACCCTCATCGTTTGACTTGAATACTTGATTGATGATCGACACACTTGCTTCCTAATTGCTATCGGCTCAGACACACCTCCATCACCAACAACAACACGTAGAAGAAAGAGGGAGAAACCTTGAAATTCCTCCTCTCAACAACAAGATTAACCACAGAGCCACCACCAAATTTCTGCACACCTCCATTTAATCAAGATATCGCAACCAAAAACTGATGTGTTTTTAAAGGTATGTCATTTCACTTTCATCTATCGCTCTTCTTGATCTGATCTTTCTATAGAATCCTGGTTTTTAATGAGATGTTCTTAAGCTCGCCTGCATAACTCTATATTCTCTACAAAGCTAACCTTTTTAATATTCAAAATACTTGTCACTTTCTTCTCATATCATCTATTCAAAGTATGGAGTTTGCTTATTCATCTATGTCATCCTAATTGCTGCGTATGGGGTTGGATATACTTAATCATGTTTAGCCTCCGTACTAAAATTTCAAATGAGCTGGGTAAAAAAGAAAGAGAAAAGGCAGATGGTAAATGAAGAAAATTCAAAGAATCAATATCACAAATACCTTATTATGACAGGGGTCAATGTGGATTAAAGTATTACTTACCTGCTTTAGAGTTTTGCTTCTTTTTACTTTTTAGTAGCCTGGAAACCAACTCCCTATTAACCCTTGTTTCATTTCTCTATTTTGATTAGATTTCCTGATTAGTTACTTCACTAGTAGCTTAAGCTTTACTAAAGCCAATATTTCATAATGACTTGTTTGATCAATTGTTTATTTCCTCTTTGGTTAGGCATATTTTAAGGAGATGAAGTTGATCACTCCAAACTGAAAATATGATTCCCTGGTTTCCATTCATACTTTAATAAAGTAGGCCCTTCAATCACCAAGGAAAAATGAACATACTCACGTTTCTGGGTTGAATGAGGTCAAGCTCATCAATGAAGTTAGTAATAGTGACCGGATTTAGTCTGCTTGTTCCACTACAGTATAACTTATATGGGGAAAGCAACTACAATATAATTGTCTCTGAGCAGAACTTTTCTTGGCTATTTTGTAGGTTTAAGAATGAGTTTGAGCCCATATGGCTTTCATACAACTTTCATGCTATTCTGGAATAAGGTTTGTCACCATTGACATTACTTCTGAGAGAGGTTTACATAAGCATTTTGAACAATGGAACCTGCGACAGGCCGCAACCATGTCCATTACCATGCCATTCAATCTGAGAACAGTGAATCAGCATCTTCATCTCAGGGATTCTTGAATGCCAATATGAGACCTACAGAGATGAATCCTGTACTGAATTATTCCATCCAGACAGGTGAAGAGTTCGCTCTTGAATTTATGCGGGATCGAGTGAATCCTAGGATGCCATTCATTCCATACTCTGCAGGGGATCCAAACCTTACTACAGGCTACTTGGAACTAAAAGGCGTCTTAGGCATCAGTCATACTGGGTCCAAAAGTGGGTCTGATGTTTCCATGCTCAACGTTGTAGAAAGAGGTTCAAAGGATCTTGAAAGGAAGACTTCTTTTTATGAAGGCACAAGCAACTATGGATCTGTGTCATCATTACCTCAAACCAACAGTAATCGGGGAGGTATTCGTGATTATGCCTCTTCTAGTGCATCAGATATATCTTCATTAAAGATTAAGATCCTATGCAGTTTTGGTGGCAAAATTTTACCTCGTCCAAGTGACGGCAAACTTAGATATGTTGGAGGAGATACACGCATTATCCGTATAAGAAGGGATATTTCTTGGCAAGAATTATGGCAGAAAACAATAGCACTTTACAATGAAACCTGTTCAATCAAGTATCAGCTTCCTGGGGAGGATCTTGATGCATTGGTATCTGTCTCTTCTGATGAGGATTTGCTGAATATGATGGAGGAATGTAATGTACTTGGTGAAGGAGAAGGCTCAAAGAAGCTTAGGATGTTTCTTTTCTCCTTGAGTGACTTAGACGATACTCATTTTGGTTTGGCCAACTCTGGTGGTGATTCGGAGATTCAGTTTGTAGTTGCCGTAAATGGTATGGACATGGGATCAAGAAGGGGGTCAAGTTTGCATGGTCTAGGAAGCTCTTTGGCTAATAATCTGAATGAGCTCGATGGACAGAATGCTGAGATGAACACTAGTAGAACTACAACTGACTTTGTTGGAGTCAATGTGACACCTTCGGCCAGCATCAACGTTTCATCATCAGTGCTGGTATCTTCTCAAGCTATGCTGCCAAGTTCATACAATGCTTATGAGACCCATATCCAGATGCATCAGGGCCAACCAAAGCATCATGGAGAAGCCAAGGCAAAAACCCAGCAACATGTACCTGTCTCTCAGTCTTTATCTGACAAACCTCCTGTTGAAAGTTCTGTCCAACTGAACTCTGATGAGCATGTAAGTCAGCAAGGAGGTTGTAACGAAGGGCAGATGTCTAATACTATGGATATACAAAATCAACAGTCACAGGTGAGGAACCCAATGCCGAAAGGTGATAGTTCTGTTAAACAAGAGGTTGATCACGGTAACATTAGATCTTTAGGGAATGAAGGGTCATCAGGTGCCCTACCTGGAGCAGAGCAAAAGTTTCTTCCAAAGCCTAAAATGAGCAAGGAGAGGCACCAGGATGAAGAACAGGGATCTTCTCCCCTCGATGCTGCTAGCATGGAAAGAGCTAGTAAATGTAATGATAAAGATGATGATTCATATGCATCTAATGAGGCCTTGCTTTCTAGTGGTGCAGGGTCTGATCTTATTGATTTGAGCTACCTTGAACCTCCTGTACCCCCTCCAAGGGTTTATCATTCTGAGAGAATTCCACGGGGGCAGGCAGAGTTGAACAGGCTAACAAAGTCTGATGACTCCCTCGGTTCTCAGTTCCTTTTTACTCATTCACGTTCTGATGTTGGGCCACAAGATTTCATTTTAGAATCTGTTGAAAAGTTTCACACTGAAGATGTACCTTCTCAAAGTGAGCTGCCTCCCATCTCAACAAGAATACTATCATGTACAAAACCTCAAAGCACGGAAGATGCACTAGGCAATGGGAAGTCGAAACAGGTAACATGTGAACCTATAAATGATAACAAGGGTATCAATGAGAGTCAGATTCTTAAGTCTGCCTGTGAAACCAACACTGCGGTGGTCAATGATAACAATGTCCAGTTTGATAAACCAGCAGAAACTAGATCACAATTCAGGCTCCATGCTGATCCTGCAACTAACCATCCAGAGTACAGTCGTGGTGAACGAGGGGCTAGTGATTCTACTGCTAACAATGCTCAGGTGTATGCTCAATCTGCTGCTCCCAATGTTTCGCGGACAGAGCAAGGAGACATAATCATTGATGTCAACGATCGATTTCCCCGGGATTTTCTGTCTGATATATTCACAAGAGCAATGATGTCTGAAGATCTGCCAGGTATAGGCGGCCTACCACAAGATGGAGCGGTATTGAGCTTGAACATAGCAAACCATGAACCTCAGCACTGGTCCTTTTTCCAGAAATTGGCAAGGGATGAGTTCCCACAGGATGTTTCTCTTATTGATCAGGATCAACTTGCATTTTCATCTCGACTTCCAAAAGTTGAAGAAGCCTCCATGGTCCATGATATCGCACGGTTTCAAGATGGAGTCTCTGGAAGCGAGTTAGATTCCAAGAACACTTTCGTTGAAGACAAAGAAAAAGATACACCTCTTGTTACGGGGTCTAGTTCCATTTCTTTGCAATCACATTATGATCCATCGCAGGTCAATGTCAGTGAAAGCATGCAGTTTGTTGATATGGTAGAAGAAATGAGGATGCCAGACTCAGAGTATGAGGTAAGCTTACATCAATTGCTAGTCTGAGCAGCTCATGTTTTCCTGAAATATGATGGATCTTTGTGATGCATCCTTTGCTCATTTTGATGATTGTAGGTTGAGACAAGGAATGTTGGGCTGCCTTCTATTGGTCCTTCTCTAGAAGATCTTGATATCAGTTCTTTGCAGGTATGGTGACATGTCTCATCCTTTTGATAATTCATATTGGTATTATAGATAATTCAGTGTTAACTCTCTGCTTTTTCATGCTGATCATTTTGGGCCTTTGTAGAAAAAGGGTAAATCCCAGACTACACATTGAATTTTTGCATTGGCTATTCTTCTACTAACTATACCTGAAAGGTCATACAGATTGTTAGATTATAATGAATAATCTAGGTTTCAGTTTCTAGTTTTCTATTAGTATTAGTTCCCTTAGAGAGGTTCCTAATTATGTATATGTTCATATAATCTCTTCTCAATAACATAACACAGAATTTTCTGGAATATTGTTACATTGATTAGCTCACATTTGCTGAGTTGTCTGAGTTCTATCCATGTTACCTGATGATGGAATATTCACTTTTGCCAAACCAAGCTCTAAATAATGTCTTTATGATTTGATTCTAGACTAAGTTGGAACCTTGATGGTAATATGCTTTTTTTTTATCTTGGATGTTTATACAGATGATCATGATATTATCATCTACTTGAAGTTTGCATATGTGGATATTTTCTTCATGAAACTTAATTATTTCAAAGGCTAATCATTTATAAATTCCAATCTTTTTAAGTTATCCACTCAAAACCTTGATCATATAACCATCGGATGGTTAGGGTTGGTTGTATATGTGTATGTGCCTTTCTCTATGTTACTTCTTTTTCTTCCAATTGTCGAACATAGCATAACTTAGCTAAAAAGCAACAGAGAAGTATTGACAGACATCAAAATTGCAAATCAGACGAAAAAAAGTTAAGAAAACCAAAATAGTTTTATAGATGCTTCTGAATTTCAATACACTGAGAAAGTGGCTTCAGAAAACTTGATTATTCACATAAACGATGACTACTCAAACTTATAAGCACAGTTAGTCCTGACCCTGGTTGAGTTTGTAAGCTGCATTGATATCAGTTAAAATATTAATAGGTCATCATTTTCAAGTGCCTCATGTATTGCTAGATACTGGAGTCTGGTGGCTGATTTAGGGTTTTGAGATGCCATGCTTGTTTGCTCTCTTAAGGTCTGCAATGCTTTTTCCCCCCCTAAATCGAGGCTTACAATCACTTGTCACTTGATTTCTTTTTAGTTATAAGCTGACGTCAGAGATTCCAATGCCTTTTTAGTTTAAAAATCAAGGCTTACAGTTCGGATTTTTTTAGTTATAAGCTGATTTCTCGATTTCTTCTTGTTGAGATTCAAGGTTGAGCCATTTGGAAGATTTTATTCACTAGAGGCGATATTTGTTTGTAATGCATATAGAAAAGTCTGCTTTTTAAAACTTCACTTTTCGGTACATAATTTCTTGCTTTAATTGCATACACACAATAATGTTCTTGCATATGACAGTACTAAGGTTATTCGAATGACATTGATTAAAATACTCCAGCTTTAAGGTTATGATAGATCTATAATGACATTTGTTATCTGGTCTCTTTGCCATCTCCGTTGCTTGTTGCAGATCATAAGGAATGAAGATCTTGAAGAATTAAGGGAGCTTGGTTCTGGCACATTTGGGACAGTTTACCATGGAAAATGGAGGGGAACAGATGTGGCCATTAAGCGAATAAAGAAGAGTTGCTTTGCAGGTCGATCATCTGAGCAGGAGAGATTGGTTGGTATCCTTTGTCTTTTCACTGCATTCTTTCTGAAGCCACAATCAAAATCACCAAGTCAACAATCGATAGCGACTTGATAAACAAGTTGAATGCTATAGGATAAAGCATCTATGAGCCACAATTTTTCCTTCATTAATTTATGTAGTTATTGAATTTTTATTACTTGATTTGTTTTCTCCCCTTAAGTCTCATGAGAGTGAGTTTTCTCGTGCAAATTCATGTGTATGGTGAAGTGTCCCTTTCTCATCTCGACGCTATTTTCTTTCATTCCAGACAATAGAGTTCTGGCGAGAAGCTGACATTCTCTCAAAGCTTCACCATCCGAACGTTGTGGCATTTTACGGTGTAGTACAAGATGGACCTGGGGGGACATTAGCTACTGTCACAGAGTTCATGGTTGATGGTTCATTAAGGCATGTCTTACTTCGCAAAGATAGGTAATAGGTCCACCTGTATTTTTCAGTGGTTGAATCTTTGACTATGAAATCAATATATACCTTTCCAACTTTGTGCGGGTCTGCATTTCCGATCAAGATGAAATGTCCTGTTGTTGCTCTACCTTTTCAGTTTGATAATAATTGTTTAACAATGTGCTGTAACAATAAGCCGCTTTTCACTTGATCATTAATTTTTGAGGTTTACAGCTTATGTATTTCTGACTTCAATGTAGATGTCACCTTTTGATTACTTAGCTGCTTCATCCTTTGTTATGTGGTTTCTAGGCATCTGGATCATCGCAAGAAGCTTATAATTGCAATGGATGCAGCCTTTGGAATGGAGTATTTACATTCAAAGAACATTGTGCATTTTGATCTGAAATGTGACAATTTGCTGGTGAATATGAAGGATCCTTCACGCCCTATATGCAAGGTCATCAGATGATAGATTATGCCTTCTTTTTCTTACTCAAGACATGATTAGCTTGTCAACAATGCGCAAGCAACATATTTACTGGTTTCTAGTTTTTAATATTGTATAAATTTTATTATTTTTATGCAGGTAGGTGATTTTGGACTATCAAAGATCAAGCGCAACACTTTGGTTTCAGGTGGAGTTAGGGGAACCCTGCCCTGGATGGCTCCTGAGCTACTGAATGGTAGCAGCAATAAAGTTTCTGAGAAGGTGATGGTCCTCTTTACCTTTGTGTATGAGTCTACTATTGCAGTACCAGTGTATGTTCTATCATATCCGTCACCTATTTGTTCTGAAATAAAGGTTGGTACTGGATCAGATGACATTTGAATTCTTGGGTAAGTTGGACAAGGTCCTGTCAGATTAATGGGTTACCATGTGATTGGATTGAAGATAAACCTGATTATAATGTTGTACAAAATTACCTTGTTTTCAGACAAAAGAGTGTTATAAATTGCTAGTATTTGTAACAGGTTGATGTGTTCTCTTTTGGAATTGTGTTATGGGAGATCCTGACTGGTGAAGAGCCGTATGCAAATATGCACTATGGTGCAATCATAGGTGGGCTTAATTAATTTGGTTGAGGTTGAGGTTGATTTTAGATTATTGATTGTTGAGCTGATAGGATATAGGTGTGTGGTTGCAGGAGGCATTGTGAGCAACACATTGAGACCCCCTATTCCAAGGGATTGTGATGGTGAATGGAGAAGGTTAATGGAGCAATGTTGGGCGCCTAACCCTATGGTCAGGCCATCCTTCACCGAAATAACCAGCCAGTTACGTGTTATGTACCACACCAAAGGCCACAAGGGATCTTAGCTTGCAATTGCATTGTTGTTGAGTAATAATAAATAAAGAAAGGTACATACTACATACTACATACTAGTATACTAGCTTGTACTAGATACTAAATTTTGGCACAATCATTTATGTGGGATGGAGTAGTTGGGTATGAAAATAATTTTGTTACTTGAAAACATGTGTATACGTGTGATGTGAGGTTTGGAGAAATGTGAAGATGGGTTTGCTTGTTTGTTTGAAAGAATTGGAATTGGTGTATTTCAGACAGTTGGGGATATTTTCTTTGATGGTTAAAAATCCTACTTACAATCAATACACACATAGATGCATGTATATATATATATATGTGTGTGTGTGTGTGTGTGTATTGTTTGGAGACTGTACATATTTGTTGTTGGGTGGGACTTGGGAGAGAGAATGGTATGTATTATAAGAAGGGAATGAGGAAAGAAATAAGCCATTAACAAAATGGTTTCTTTCTGGTTCTCTACTTTTAAACATATGCAACGTAATCGTTGGGGTTTGTTATTTTTTGCCTTTTAATATCCTTACAAAAACCACGCCTTCACCTTCTTCATCTACTTTTGCTTCCAATCTTCCATCAACTTTATGTTTCATCCAACCATACTTATAATTATAATTAATGTTTCATTAAATTCTAACTTACTCGTTGCTTTCTTTTTGAACTTGAAAACAATCGACTTTTATGTAAACTAGAGAGGGGGAGGGGGATGAAATAAGAAAAATTGTTCAATTAACAATGTAGAGGCTTGATTTACCAAATATAATGGTCACAAAAACACATCTTTAACAGCCATGTTAAATAAGAGATTTATCATGAAGTATAATTTATGTTAAAATAAAATAAAATAAAATAAAAAAGATGACAAAAATCTTTAAATTTGAAAAAGTAGTATCTTGAAAGGAAAATAATATTTACGAACGGAACTTGGATGGTTTAGAAATGGCAGATTTATAACCAAATGGTACGGATGGAGTTGTTGAAAAAGGATTTGACTGATGAGATAAAATCAAGATTCTTCCACTTACAAATCTCACTCGAAATGGAGTCGCCCTTCAAGCCAGAGATTCTCAAAGGCAAGGTAGCCCTTTTGACCGGAGGAGCTTCCGGTATCGGCCTCGAGATTTCCACACAGTTCGGTAAACATGGCGCTTCCATCGCCATCATGGGCCGTCGCAAAACCATCGTTGACTCTGCCGTCTCCTCTCTCCAGTCTCTCGGTATTCCGGTACTCCCTCTCCCTCAACAAACTGGATGCTTCTATAATCAAACTATGTTTTCCTTATATAAATGGAACAAAACATTTGTAATTGGATTCCCATATTCTTTCTTTAAGTTATCACATGTGGTGGCAGGCTGTTGGTTTTGCTGGGGATGTTCGCAATCAGAAAGATGCCAAGCGAGTAGTAGAATCAACTATTGAACGCTATGGGAAGCTCGATATTCTTGTGAACGCTGCTGCTGGCAATTTCCTGGTCTCGCCAGAAGATCTATCTCCAAATGGGTTTCGAACAGGTTTTTCTTCATACACTCAAATCAACTGATTATTTTGTATTTCTTCCTTTTTCATCTTGATTTTTTTCCTTCTGCTTTCTTTGTTTGAAGAATGAGAAATCAATTGACATTGAACCTTCATATCTTTATATGACAATTAACATAATTGAAAATTTCCTTGGCAAAAAAACCTTGCTGGTTGAATGTTTGTTTTACCTTGGGCAGTGATGGACATCGATTCTGTTGGTACGTTTACTATGTGTCATGAAGCCCTCAACTATCTTAAGAAAGGAGCAGCAGGAAGAAGCTCAGATAGTGGTGGAATAATACTGAATATCAGTGCCACCCTACACTACACAGCTGCTTGGTACCAAATTCATGTAGCTGCTGCTAAGGTAAGTGGTCAGGTTAAGTGATAAAGTTTTGAGATTTATGTTATTGTTATGTTGTGAGAATTTGTATAATATGTGGGATAGGCGGCAGTGGATGCAATTACCAGAAATTTGGCTCTGGAATGGGGTACTGATTATGATATACGAGTCAATGGGATTGCACCTGGTCCGATAAGCGACACTCCTGGTATGAGGAAACTTGGACCGGATGAGATAAAAAGCAAAAGTAGAGAGGTCATGCCTCTCTTCAAACTTGGGGAGAAATGGGATATTGCCATGGCAGCCATCTATCTTGCATCAGATACTGGTTGGTAACATATTCAGTATATTTACTTTCAGTAGGTGGTTTGGTCTCAGCACCAAATAGTTGAGATAAATTGAATCCATCCGGCTTCTTGGAGCTGGCTGGCTGGCCAGACAGTTAAAAGCTTACCCTCACCCTAATTCAACACTTCCATTCCATCAGGGTAATGGATTTGCTTGATTTCCTCTTCAGTTTTTAACAATTTTGTTTTTCAACAGTGAAATCTTTTTTTCCCACATGTCCTTTTGTAGCTCATCCATTTACCCATTCTGTGTTTGCAAGAGAGGAGAGGGTGTTGCTGTTTTGTTGATTATTGTATGTTAATATTTATATGGATTTTCCTGAAGGTAAATATGTGAATGGGACGACCCTAATTGTTGATGGAGGACTGTGGTTAAGCCGGCCACGTCACTTACCAAAGGGGGAAGTGAAACTGCTTTCTCGTGTAGTAGAAAAACGTGCTCGAGCTACACCCACTGGGGTACCACCTTCTAGCAAACTCTAGCCTAATCGAATGGTGGATAAGAAATTGGTTAAGGGGTAATATATATTGAATATGAGTGCTAGATTTATGGGGAATATGTATTTGCCAAAGAATAAATGGGATATTACATGCCGTTTTATCAGAAAATATTTCGCTGAAATCTTTATAATCTTGAAATGATGGCTTTGTTTTCTTGGATTGTACTTCTTCTCTTATGGTTTTACTTGGATTTTGGGGACCTATATATTGAATGTGAATGCTTCTCACTAATCCAATCTTTTCTATGATATGGTATGTTATACCTGCAAATGCAACATTTTTGTTATATAAAATGAGAATGAAATCTTGACGTTGGTACAATCATGTATACTTGGACTCGACGGCATTTGACATGGATGTAAAAGAAGCATCTTACATTGATCGAGGCTTCTGCTGCTTATATATATTATATATAATGCAATCTAATGTACAATCAATACATGATCAAGGCAGAGAAAGAAGAAAAAAGACTAGTGGGGGTATTTCATCCCTGCCTGCACTATGGTTGCTGAAAGAAAACTGGGTTTTATTCAACATCTGTGAAGAGGTGCTGGGTAAACATCGAGTGGTTGGTATCTCAAGCGGTCATTGTGTGGCAGTGGTCCTTCCTGGAAAATCAAACCCATTATCATCATCATCACTATCACCATCACCATCACCAAATGCCATCCAAATAACATCAATAAGAACACATTTCATACCTCTTCTGCATTAATTTGGTAAGGCTTAACAAAATCTTCAAACATCTCTGGCGACAATTTTCCTATTTTCTCTTTAACTTCCTGAACAGATCATTCAACAACATCCAATCTCTATAAAACTCAATTCTAAAGGAAATTCATAATACAGATACAAAGTGAATCTGTTAGATACAGGTACTAAAGCAAATAACATTCCCATTTCAGTTTTAGCATAGCCAGGATGGCATGCAGTAAAAAGTTTACAATGTTTGTCATGTACATTTTCACGTACTTGATGTCCCAGGATAAGGAATGATGCAAAACTTACCAGCCCAGTAATCCTCGACTTCTCCAGTAACTCTGTTGAAATCAAATCCAGTATGTGCTTATTGGCCCTCAATCCCTTCATTGCAAGTTCTTCCGTCTCTTCAATATACTGGCGCCAACATTAAGCAACTTTATCAAATAAAAAATGAACTAATACTCTGTACTTTCTTCATGATTCCCAAGACTTGCAGTCCAATTTAGGTAGTTTTTTCTTCTCCTTTTTTCTCTTTTATTGGGGTGGAGGGTGGGGAAGGAGCTAAAGTTTACAAATTAAACATAAGAGGTATGACGCACTTAATTCTAAGAAGGATAGAGGATGGCATGGCAAAGGTGTAGGATATTTGTAACCGATCTCACCTTACTTGGTCGTATAAAGGCATTCACTAAAGTAATAAAATTGGAGTTGCGGAAAAGCAGGCATGCACTAAAGTAAACCTCGATATAGGTCAGGCAACTTGGGCTTTATTTAGGCAAACAAAATATATGTTGTTAACATATAGTGAGAGTAACAAGAAATATTAAGATTGCCTAATGCAAATTCAAAAAAAATTACCTACAGCCTACACCACACACAATTCTTGCACTGAAAACAATGTTTCAAACCTCTTTCGCCAATATTGGGTAACAAAAGTATAGTAATGATTGATATATTGCATTAAATAAAAAGGGGGAAACTATAGTTACTCTTGTCAATTCTCGAGTGAAGAGCTCTGAAACTTCAACTGTCATATCAGCAGGAACTACATTAGGATCATCCCACTGAATCAAGATAGCAAGGAAGATGATTTAATTAGAATAGACCATTAAACAACAGTTTGCACTGATGAAGTATGTGAGAAGAATCAAGGCAGGGGATAATTTGAAGATATGATATGCAAAGATAACAATGAAGATCATACCCTATACTTTATCAGTTCTCCGTCAGTGCTATCTGCTCTGTTAGCCAATCCGACTCTATTTGTCAAAGTAGCAAACCCCAACCTAGAATTTCTAGGGCTTATCACCATTTCTCGAGCAATCTGAGGAGTCGACACATGTTTAGTGGATACAAAACCATTTGAAGTAGGATGCATTTCCAGAATTCAAGAAATTTTTATCTTTTAAACAAATAAATGCAACTCAAATCAGTTATGCAGTTCAAAAAAAATCAAAATTTTCATATTGCTCAACAGCCTAAAGAGTTTCAATTGCCAGAGTTTCAACTTAAATCTCTTCCCTAAAGAGTTGCCATTGCCAGAGTTTCAAACTGGCACCTTTGCATACAGGATTCTGATCCCAATAATTGAGTGCAAAGAAACATAATCCAAATTCTAATCTGTTAGGAGAGAACAGGAGCAGGCACACCATCACCTGCAATCCAATTACCCCAGGAAAGCTCAAAATGCAACTCTAACCCATTTGTTACCTGAAAACATATCTTGATGGATGTTGTAACCACCATTCTATATTAAGCATCAATCCTTTCCATTTATGTTTGCCAACCGCCATGGAACAACTTGCTTGTGCACATTTCCTAACAAGTGCTCTTACAAGAGAGTACTCCACATCAACCCTGCGAGTGCTCTCCCTTGAACCAGACACTAATTTCGAGCCTTTTTATCTAACACCAATGAGCATGCCTATTGCTCTAACAACATACCTGTGTCACCACAGCCTTTAATACTTATTTAGTGCCAAACGCCAAGATCCACCAGTTGCTGCATTTGACTCTGCAGTTTTCTGTAATGACGATCGTATCTACTTGGCTAGGTTAAGTTGGGCATGATCCAAATCTATGCTGCAACTTGAGAAGCATCTAGGACAGAATTAGGTTGGGTTGGGCTATTGATCTAGACGACTAGACCCATCAGCCCATTATTCCACTATGTATTTATGTTTATTCTTGCGACACCGGGGTAACCTCAAGATTCTTCACAGTATTCAACAATTTTGAATGAGGGATGTTTAGCAGGCAAATACTAATGAAGTAATCACAAAGTCAAGTGAAAAATATACACCACCTTTGTGATCTTTTCTAGATCATCCATTCCACCATCAGTTACATCATTCCCAAAAACAACACGTTCAGCACACCGCCCACCATGAGCTACCACCATTTGCATCATCATGTAGCCAAATGTTGTGTAAGTTTGGTCTACCATTTCTTCTCTAGGGTAAAAAACTGATATTGCAGTTTCCTGCCAAAGTGGGTTAGATAGTGGAAGAGGCTAATTCAAAGTTGATAAACACTGAAAAGATTCTGATATCATACCTTACCACCAGGTAACATCTGAGAAAATGCATGCCAATCAAATCTTGGAAATAAATGTGCCAATAAAATATGACCAGCTTCATGCACTGCCAACAGCCTCTTCTTTTCCATAGATACCTGTTACATTTAAGACATAACTAGTGCTAAATTGCCATTACAAAGATGTAAGATCTTCAAAGGTCAAGAAGAAAATCCATACTCGTTCTTCACATTTCTGTTGCTCTTCCTCTGTCAGGAGCACACCCATTCCCTCAAGGAGCTGCTTATCTAATACATCAACAATATCTTGCTGGTAGATTTTTGTATGTCCTTTTCTCACCTGCAGATATGACTCATCTAAAACCACTAATGTTCTTGCACAATATGAGAACTTCACTGAACAATAATGAGTTAAAATGCAACGTTCCAGATACTAATCTCAGACCATCAGGTAATTTTTGAAACGGTAGGATCTTTAAGCCAAGTATGAGGATCCCCTCATGCTATAAGAAAAAGAATCCTATGTATCAGACATCAAAATTCGCTAATAGTATTGAATTGGCTACATTCCAGGTTGTGGTTAATTCATAACAGCTAGTGACCCAAGGATCTTAGTTTGCCTGCTGGGCCTAAATATAAGTATGCTGTCTCAGTAAGCATGAAATTATGTGAAGGCTAAATAATTTTTTTCCCTATTGGCTATATAATAAGGGTTGCACTGAGAGCCAACTTGAGTCCTTATCTTTTAGCTTCAGTTATGCATGAAGTTAGAAAAGGACATACAATATGATACATTGTGGTACATATTTTTCTATTAATAACATTGTGGTACATATTTTTCTATTAATAACATTGTGTTGCTTGATGATTTTTACGTAGTGTGTCAATCTAAAGTTGTTGGTCTACAAACACCATGAAAACAAAACATAGTAGTTGAATGCAACTTTGGCATTTTGACAGGGAATCATAATATGACGTAACAAGCATGCCATGAAGCAGTAACAAAAGGATATCTTGTTATCTAGGATCGATATTACAGAATAATAGACTGTGTTGCAAGAAGGATACAAGTTCGTGATATGTGAATATTGGGATCCGAAGATTCTAAGAATGTGAGGGCATGGGAGTGCATTTATTACGGTTGTAGTTGAGGGTAATTCTGGTATTTTGTATTTAAGTTTTGTTACAGTGGTTAGGTCTCTGTATAAGTAGGTTGTACCTCACAGTTTATTCAATTCAAGTGATTCACATTTGCCCTCATTTCATCATAGCATTTGTGTGCGTGTGTGTGTGTGTATTCAAGTCAAAAGTCAAATGAATAGAAGACACAAGTTATTTCATTATTCATACATTAATATATGTCAAATAGATTTGTGCTCAGGACTCAATAGATTAATAAAGAGACCTTACCTGTAGTATTTTTATTGGGTTTAATTGCTTAATAAAATTCTTTTTGATATCGTAGTTGCATATTCTTCTAACAAAAATCACTAATGTAAACTGATGATAATAAAAACTGAGGACACAAGACAATAACTTGAAGGAATATCTTTTATAACATGAAAGAATACTTACGGCCATTATTCCAGCTTCATTGACAAGATTTCTTATATCTGCCCCAGAATACCCAACAGTGCGAAATACCAGCTGTAAAAGAAAAAAATTTGAACAGTAAAGCATAGACGAGAGAAAACATAACTGTCATTGTTGAACTATCCAACTAGATGAAGTCTCAACAATTAGGACCACGTAAAATCATTATTTAAATTTTATCCACATATCCCTACATGTAACTGTAACATCTATTATAATTAAGAGATTAAGCTTAACACTCAATGGATTCTAACCAAAAAGATCACTCACTGATCCTGCTCAACTACACTATGATAAACAAAGTGCTCAATCACTGCATAGTAGGTCTTGAGGAGGTATCCAACAAGATTGGGGTGTTCTTAGATGAAGAATAGTAGGCGCCCAATTTCTCATTTGTGGTGCAAGTGTTCATATATAAAGTCATGGCTGAGATACCATGTAACATATGGTTCTAAAAGGTACATCCTGGATGAGGACTAAAGGAGATGTTATTGAATCGCATTGTGAGAGCCTTGTTATCTCAAGGGATTTATCAAGTGAATAAGGTGTTTAAGCTTCCCTAATTTAAATGTCCTAAATATGCAATGACGCCATAAACTTAAACTGACAAATAAAATGGAAAAACTGAAGCCTTCTAATATTCAGAAAACTAGTAACATGAAATATCCAAATATTGCCTTTTCAAACTCAACGTCTTCAGAAAGCTGCTTCCCAGTACTGTGCACGCCAAAAATTTGCACCCTTTGCTTTGCATCAGGTAAACCAACGTACAATCGGCGATCAATACGTCCAGCTTGCACAAATTCTAGGTCCAACTCATCTGGCCTATTTGTAGCACAGATGAATATAACAGACTGTCTTAGTGAAAACCGATCCACGCCAGTTTTCTCTTTTCTGAAATTGATAGAAATTTATATATCAGAAACTCTCCAAACAAATCCTTGACAAAAATGCAAAATGATTATGAGAGAAAGGTGAAATATTGATATAGAATAATCTCCCACAGCATAGATATGAAGCTAATCTGCTTATATTCGAACAGTAAAATATACAAGCAACAGTCAAAGATGTGGGGAAATTTCAGATCCTAACTCTCCATCAAGCTGAGTGATCAGTGCATCAAATGTTGATCTCCTTCGTGGATCCTTTCTTGCATGTCTTCCAGCAATAGCATCAATCTCATCTACAAACACAAAAGCAGGAGCCTGCCCAATAAACACCTATGTTAGCCTAATCATAGAGAAATTGCAAATAAAAATTTACATTTGATGATAAAATTCTATATGCAAGAAGAATAATGGAGGGTATGGGCTAAATAAATGGACGCTTAACTTTTCCATGTGAAGTTGAGAATAGAAATGGTAGAGGTATCTCATATTGAGAGGCTATGTGAAGTTGGACTTTCTCATCTGTTAGTGTATTAGCACTGAGCAACGTTGTTACATGAACTCCTTACAAAGGTAGAATGGCAACCTCTCTTCACTCCCCACCCAACCACATAGACAAATCATAACCAAAAGAAAAGGAAAAGGCACACAGCCAACAGGACCTAAAGCTTCATTTGATGTTATAGAACTTATAATGCATGGTAAAGGAAAGTAGGATTTACATTTCGCCTTGCAACTGAAAACATTTGATTTATTCGTGCAGCACCACTTTTTTCACTATCTGTGAACTCTGCACCAGACGCAAAAACAAATGGCATCCCACTTTCCTTTGCTAGTGTCCGTGCAAATAGTGTTTTGCCTGTCCCTGGAGGTCCTGATAGAAGTACTCCCTGTAGGACATGTAACCAAAAAGCTCATATTGCACACGTACATTTAGGTTTTCATATGTTTGCCCAAATAAAGTCATCAAATTACCCTAACAAACTTCACTTCTTTTTCATAATATTGCATAGGATTACGCATGTAAATCATTAGCTCATCCAAGAGATCCCAGACGTCTCCTCCCAGCACTACATCCTTATACATCGTTTTTGTTTCATCAACTTCTCTAACTGGCTGGGGGTCAGATTATTGAGATAAAAAGATTAGTAACAAAGCAAACAGATAGGAAAGCAGTTCATATGAAGACCAAAACTTTACCATGATAAAATTTTCAGCATAAGCCATATCAAAAAGTTGATTATACTTCTTATAGAGGAAGCGCCTAGAAGTAATGCGTAAAAGCATTAGAGATTCCCGTAAAAACCACAAAACCAAAATGCCAGGGAGTAATGCAACTACAAGTTTTAACAAGTAATGGCTTTGCCGCTTCTGGAGTAGATCAACTTCAGCTCCAGAATTTGTGATTTTCTCAAACAGATATGGATCAAGTGGCATATCAACCTACAAAAAACAAATTACATTATTCAGGATTGAAGGAGAAAAGCAATTCCTTTACAGCAAAGACAATGTTTAATATTACACTCACAACATATTCTAGAGGGAACCCTTCCTTCATTGTTACATACAATCTTTTCAAATCCTCAGTAAAAACAACAGCAGCAACCTGCACAAAGCTCCATAGTATCAAAAAAGAAGTATTCATAGAGGGAATCTTAAATACAAGACAATGTAGTCATACTTCTGAAAACAATACGCAAACCAGGATTGTTCAAATCAACTGACATCCATTTTTATGCTAGTGCGTACAAAACAATTATTTTGTCGAAAAAAATATTTTCAGGTTATGATTTCCTCTGTTTCCTGTTGATAGTATTGGCAATGGCACCAGCTTATGTGATGTTGCAATACCTTAAGCTTGTAGAGGAAAAACATGTACATGTGTCTCTACAGACCCATTACAGATATTGCAACATAAGAGTATCAGTGCAGCACTGGAATGATGAGGTATAAATAATATATCACTATTGCAACAAGTCCCAGAGAACTGTGAGGTCTAACTAGACAAAGAACTGGATGAAATCAGATAGTTGACCTCGGAGCAATCAAGCTTTTCAAGAAAATAGGTATAAGGCAGTTTAGGTCGGTAACGCCACCATCTTTTGGATATCCAAAGTGCTCTGGCCCCTTCTGTGCCTTCCGCCTTCACCCTCGCATCTTCACGAAAGCTCTTCTCAACCTCTTCCATGTCAAATTCAATTGTGTACCTAGAACGGGATGAATCTAATTGTTCAGCCAATTGCTCCTTCCTAAGAATCTCTTTCCAAATTTGCAGCCTTTCTTGCCATGTTCCTCTACTTTCTTGATTAACATCTGCCACATAAAAGATAAAGCGTCAATCAGGCATCTTAGCTGCTCAATAAAAGACAATTGTACCAATAGAGGCAGCAACCTAACAGCAAAAGTAACCACAAACTAACCTGAAAGCCCTAGCTCTTTTTCAAGATCTCTTTTGTCTTCTGTGTTCAGACTCACATCATGGTTGATGATTTCCTTAACTTTGTCCTTGGAAGCTGTAGCATCCTCCTCCCATGCATCTTCTCCAACATAAGAACTGTCATGGATAAGTGTTCCATCGGGTCCTTCAATGAATTTCTTCATTTTAAGGCCTTTGGGAATTGACTTCCTCCATAAACCTTTTTTATACCTTTAAGAAGCAGCACAAATGAAGTTAAGCGCACACGTTTAAGTTCCATTACCAAGCTCAAATGAAATAAGTACTCCCTCACAATAAAAGAGTTCATTTATTTACTAAAAATGTACTTGCTGAATTACTTCCTGATTATGCTCCACTTTTCACTTTCCCCGCCACCATAAAGCAAGCCTCCCCCTCCCCTCTTTCCTACATATGCACAATTCTCTACCTAACTCCATCTCCACAACATGGTACTTCTAAGAGAGAGAAAAGATACGATAAGCAATGAGTTCACATCATAAAAAGGGATTTGGTGTGATTATCACGGGGTTAATTTGAAGAACATTAATGGAAAGCCATCCAACATGAGACAAAAATTCGTAAGACAATAGAGAACATAATACTCATGATGGAGGAAAAGGAGGCTCATCCAAGAGCAGTGCAGATGAAACAAATTCATTTGCTTCACATACAACAATGTTTGATTATGTTACAATATCATGTTAGATATCTCCTCTGTTTGTACTTCAGACAGAAACTACTATATTTGTCATGAAGCCTATTCTGACAGGTTGCATTCAAGCACAAAAGTTTATATGATCAACTTTTAACTACCAAAGCACTAGCATTGTAGCCACTTACCTGTCATTACCCTAACTAAGAAACTTCATTTGTATTAATGTGACTTATATTCGAGTATATCTCAGTCAGCACCCCATGTCAATGCAAAATATTGCCTTCTCAACAAGGGTAGTAGGTCGGTTGTGTATCCCACATGTACTAACCAACGGGATGCTTACAAAATTGCAGTGGGTGCTCCTAGGAAGGGTCAAATTTACATAGCATAGCAACAAGGTAGGGTACAACAGATTATACTCCCCTTCCTCTTGTAGTGTGAGGCATGTATGTCTGTATGTGTTCCTAAGAAAAAATATTGTCCATTTTCTTGCGGTCTAAGAAGTGTAGGGTAGTCATACCAAGAGTCCATATGGAAAGAGGCCCATCATGGGCATAAAATGTTGATTGGAAGAACCTTAGAATTTTGGAAGAGCAAGAGGCAACATAATAGGGTTGAAAAGGTGGCTGTAAGCTATCCTGCTCATGAGTGGATTTGGGTTCATTGTTTGGTTCATTAAAAACATTGGTGTTCCATGAACCCCTCCTTCTATGATCCAGTCTTTGTGGCTCTGCTGTAGATGTTTGTTGTAAGAGGCTTGATACCATATCCTTGTATACTTTTCCTAAACAAGAAACAAAATGCATATACCCTAAACTCAGCCCTGATAGCCTGACAACGACTTGTCATGTGTAACCTCTTGATTGACGAACTTAAAAAAAAAAAAAAAAGGCATGGCAGAGATAATAAATAGATAACAGCTCTAAGGAAGACGTTGATGCACTTGTGTTATAATATAAGGAAATAAAAGAACAACCAGGAAGGTATATACTTCCTGATATTAGTTGGAGATGGTTCAGGAATCAGAGCCTCCATATAGGCTTCGGATACTTGTTTTATTTGACGATCAAGAAAAGGAGCTCGAACAGCCATATATATTCTTCTGCATGAAATGACCATCACCAATAGGTAGATTGCCAACGCACCTATTCTTGTGGGTTCCCAATTATTGACATCCTGTAACAATAACAAGAAAGTTAGCATGTTTCCCAAATCTTGGCAACTGGAACACCAAGTAGAAGCAATTAACTCGACTAAGAAGAATAATTTAGGTAAGGATTACCTTCCAACGTTGCCACTCGTTCCAAGTCCAGAACTGAGTTCGGGCTTTCAAGACGGAGTCTTGAATCCCACCCACAACCTCAGAAAGCTTGGCATTGGCATCTTGCAAATCAACCCCGGTTTCTTTCTTCAATGAATCCCCAAAATTCTCTAATAAAACATCCGAAGTGCGGCGAACTGAGCGCGAGAATCTGGTCCAAGCCGAGCCGTCTTCTGATCCATCTGGATTAACGGAAGCAGAAACACGAAAGCTGGACTTCCTTCTTTTGATGCCATTGTAACGAGGAAGTGGTAAGAAAAAAAGATTTGGGTGGGTTTGATTCAGTGGTATTACTCCTCTTCTTACACAAGGAGAGAAGTAGAATTTGTTTGGGCTGCACCGTATTTTAAGATCCATTTTTTGGTCTCCTTTATTTTCTACGGAAAACGAACAAGAAACCTGCTGTAAGTTGATAGCCATAGCAATAGCCATAGGCATAGGCATAGGCAGGTGGGGGAGTTCCGCAGCCTCTGGGCTGAAGACCGTCCCTCCTGCGACGGTGTGTGCGAGGGAGGAGGGTAAGGGGTTTTAGAGGTTTATCTTTGTAGTGCCAAAAGGGTAAATAACAACAGGCCTGTCAGCTGTGGATAAAGTGGGAGTATGCATTTTTAGGTTTGTGTAACCTGGTCTTATGGGTCGCTGGGTTTTATGGTCTTGGAATTGGTTAATTTGCAATTTTACCATGGTTGCAATTTTATAATAGGGTAATGCAATGCTATTTATTATTTTCTTCCAACCCATATTCAAACATACGATACAGATACTCAAGACTTAACCCCATACACCACTCCAAATTTACCATCTAATAAACACGGCATAGTAGGGAATGGGGGAGACTCTCCTCAAAAGAGGTGGTCCCTTATATCAAAGCATGCTTCTCCTCTCGAATCTGCATTTCAGTACCACCATAATGAAATTGCTTTGATATAGGTTTTTACAATTTAGGATTTGATTAAGTGAGAGGTATTTTATCTTTTTTGTTAAGAAAAGAAAAGTCTTGATACACACAAGTTGTTAAATCAATAAAAAGAAAAGAAAAAAACCTAGAATCTATATCTGATTCAGAAGTGAAAAACTTATATCAGTAAATATGGGTTAGTATTTTATAAGAAAAAGGTGAAATAAATAGAAAAAGAAGATGAGCATTCAAATTCAATTATGAAGATGGAGGGATAAAATTTGTAATTTGAGGGAGAAAGGAAAGGAAAGGATCAAAAGCATCGAACCAACATCAACCTCTCCTCAACGATAAGGAAATATCTGTCCTTGCTTATTTTAATCAACCAACCATTCATCCACTGCATTTGCACTTGCACTTGCACTCCAATGGCTTCTTCTGCTGCATCATCCGCTTCTTTCTCCCTCCTCCCTACAACTCCCTCCTCCACCACTTCCCGTACCCTCCGTTCTCCCTTCCTCCGCTCTCCACTCCCTTCCCTCGCCTTTACCGCCGCTGATCCCCTTCTCTCTTCCCACGTCGCCTCCAAGCTCCGATCCATCAAAACCCCTGCCAAACCCATCACACCCATTGTCTCCATGGCCAAGAAGAGCGTCGGAGATCTCTCTCCTGCCCAACTCAAGGGAAAGAAGGTGTTCGTTAGAGCTGATTTGAATGTACCTTTGGACGACAATCAGAATATCACTGACGATACAAGAATCAGAGCAGCCATCCCTACCATCAAGTACCTCATCACTAATGGTGCTAAAGTCATCCTTTCCAGTCATCTGGTAACTAACTGCCCTTTTTCTTCCTCAATTCTCTCTCTCTCTCTCTCTATCAATTTTATTCAATTTCCTTCCTTCTTCTGAAATTTCTCAGGGCCGACCAAAAGGTGTCACTCCCAAATACAGCCTTGCTCCTCTTGTTTCCAGACTATCCGAACTTATTGGCATTCAGGTAACCTTTTTTCATGGTCAAACAAATGCATACAGCAACTTAGAAATACTCCATCCATTGGCTCAATATTTTCACTTATTTCAACAACAAAAATTAACTTTTATCAGCTGATATTGATAACTGCAGGAATACTCTTATCAAGAAAAGAGTGCAATCATAGTTGATATTAAATCAAACTTTATAAGTAAGAACTGTGAAAAAGAAGAAGAAAAAAAAGAACCCAGATATAATATTCGTACAAGGATGAAGAAAAAAAAAAACTCAATCGGCTCATTTAAATTTGGGAGAAGGGAAGTATCGTGTTTAGATTTACCATGATAGTCGTTTTGTGCCTTTATTGAAGTATCACTAGTGAACAGGTTGTGAAGGCGGATGACTGTGTTGGTCCAGAGGTTGAAAAGTTGGTGGCTTCACTTGCTGAGGGTGGTGTTCTTCTTCTGGAGAATGTGAGGTTTTACAAGGAGGAAGAGAAGAATGATCCTGCCTTTGCAGAGAAGCTTGCATCAATAGCTGATCTTTATGTAAATGATGCTTTTGGAACCGCACATAGAGCCCATGCCTCGACTGAGGGAGTGACAAAATTCTTGAGGCCATCTGTTGCTGGTTTCCTTTTGCAAAAGGTTTGATAGCTGATCTTTTTTCAATCCTAATAAGTATTTAGACCATTTTTAATGGTCTATAGAATGGAGTGCAAATTTTATGATGAGCATTAGTGCTTTAGTTTGATAAGCTATTTAATCTTGATTATGCCATTAGATCTGCTGCAATCTAGAATAACTTGGTTTGTATTTGATGTAGGAATTGGATTATCTTGATGGGGCAGTTTCAAACCCAAAGAGGCCATTTGCTGCCATCGTGGGTGGTTCAAAGGTCTCATCCAAGATYGGAGTCATCGAGTCCCTTCTAGAAAAATGTGAYATATTGCTTTTGGGTGGAGGAATGATCTTCACATTTTAYAAGGCACARGGYCTATCAGTGGGATCGTCRTTGGTGGAGGAAGACAAGCTTGATCTTGCTACTACACTCCTCGCCAAGGCCAAAGAGAAGGGAGTATCCCTCTTGTTGCCAACCGATGTGGTGGTCGCAGACAAGTTTGCACCTGATGCAAACAGCAAGGTTGCTTACTTAGTTTTTTGTTACAAATATAATATGTTTGGTTATGCTAGCTTTTCTAATGAGCGGAACAATATTTTTTGCATAATTATGAATATTTGGTTAGCAAATTAAATCAAGAAGCAACCCCTTCTTTTACTATGCAGATTGTGCCAGCATCCGCTATCCCAGATGGTTGGATGGGATTGGATATTGGACCAGATTCTATCAAGACATTTAATGATGCGTTAGAGACCACAAAAACTGTGATTTGGAATGGACCAATGGGAGTGTTTGAGTTTGACAAATTTGCAGTTGGAACCGAGGTGTGTAAGATATATTTGTTGATTCAACTTCTCAAGCACATAGGATGAGGCTGAGAAGATAGAAATGGCTTCCTTTGATAGACTGATGTGTAGTAAAGATGATACAATTGTATGTATGTATGTTTGCAGGCAATTGCAAAGAAGTTAGCTGAACTTAGTGGAAAGGGGGTGACTACAATCATCGGAGGAGGAGATTCTGTGGCAGCTGTAGAGAAAGTTGGAGTGGCAGACGTGATGAGCCATATCTCGACAGGTGGGGGTGCCAGTTTGGAGTTGTTGGAAGGCAAAACACTTCCTGGTGTTGATGCTCTTGATGAAGCAGTCGTAGCTGTTTCTGCGTAAGCCAAAGTTGTAAATTTTGATTTCAAATTTTTTACTGTAAACAATAATTGGTGTAGAGAGGCGAAACACGAGTTTGTATTATATATGTTCCAACGCTACTACCTTAAATATAAGGAAGATCTTATTGTTCTGTTTTGGATTTGGTGTTGGTCTCCATGAACTAACTAATAAATGTGAAGGTTGTATGTATCATGTGAATGACTCATTGGTTGTTGATTCAATTGAAACCCACAAAATATGCATACATACATACATCAATTGTTCATTATATAGGAGTTAAGACAGACAAGTGTTTTCAATTTCGCTTTGGTTTATGTACCAAATGACAGCAATTACTATAAATGGAAAGCTCAGATTTTTTACGATACTATCAAGTAAACGCAAAAAAATATATATATATATATATTTGGTAATTTAGTGGAAAGAAGGAAACGAAGATAGGAAAATCCCTATCCCTACTTCTTCTTCGTTTTCTTCTTCTTCTTCTCTATCAGTGCCACTCATTCAAGATTCAACAATGGCTTCTGCAGCATCACCAACCTCTTTCTCACTCTTCTCAACAACTTCTTCCTCCTATTCCACTACCTCCCGCCGCAACAACCCTATCCTTCGTCTCCCTTCTCGTTTTCTGCGCTCTCCGCTTCCTGCCCTCGGCTTTGCCGCCGCTGATCCCCTTCTGTCTGCACATGTAGGCTCCAAGCTCCGATCCATCAAAACCTCTGCTAAACCAATTACAGGCGTTGTCTCTATGGCTAAGAAGAGCGTTGGAGACCTCTCTCCTGCTGAACTCAAGGGAAAGAAGGTGTTCGTTAGGGCTGATTTGAATGTGCCTTTGGACGACAGTCAGAATATCACAGACGATACAAGAATCAGAGCAGCCATTCCTACAATCAAGCACCTCATCAGCAATGGTGCTAAAGTTATCCTTTCCAGTCACTTGGTAAGTCGCCTTTTCTTCTTCAATTACCTCTCATTTGTCCATTCCTAAATTTCCCAAGTATATGCATTCTATTTAAACCTCAAGTTTTTATCTCAGATGATAGTTGTAATTTTTCCAAGAAGCAAAGTCCGACGTTTTCTTTTGAGCTCCATCATTTTATTCAAGTTGTAGTTGACTGTGATGAACTAAAATTACAATCTTTATAGTGTTTCCATATGTACTACAGCCTCTATTATCATCTACTGTGTCAGGACTATTTATCTTCTTAAAAGATAAAGCAGGAGACACGCATTGTGTCACCAAATCATGGTTCTTTTCTGTCTTTCTTTTTGGGCTTGTTATCTTTAATTCATTGAAGAAAAGAGTAACAAGACTAGTAGCTGTAACGAAGTCTCTGAACCAAGTAGTTGCGGTTCCAAGAGCACATGTACTTTTATCGTTTTCTTTTTCTGCTCACTTGGAAGAGTAATGCAGTTCCTTTTGGATTTGCCTATTTTTTTCATCTCTTCCTTTTGAAATCCTTCAGGGCAGACCAAAAGGCGTCACTCCCAAGTTCAGTCTGGCTCCTCTTGTTCCCAGACTATCCCACCTCATTGGTGTTCAGGTACTTTTCCTTAATCATCCATAGGACGGTAAACAAAAAGGAAATAGAGATTGAAATGCTCTTAGGTCCCAAAATAAACGAACCATGTTGCTCAAAATGTAAAACTAGAAAAATCATTTCATTTGTTGTCATGTACATCATGCCTAATCACTAATATATATTATTTATAGAACTGGAAATCCGTTGTCACCAAACATCTAAATAGATTAGATCGTAGATAGATATTAAACATATAATTGAGCCATCATATGTAATTTGATGAAGATACACATTGAGAGACAACCATCTGATTAGCTACAAATAAAAAAATTATAAGATATTTAAACCCCAATTTGAGTTACATTAATTTAAACAGTCAAAGATCATTTCCCTTGGTTAGTTGGATTTATGAAAAGAAAAAACAGCTCCTTCTCCATATCAGTTACCTTTTGTGGCTTTGATTGAGGATAATGGAGCTGTATGAAGGGAGACTCTCAAGTGCATTTTCTTTTCTTGGGGTATAGTGTGGGTTTACAATACAATAGCGCCTTTGGTTCTCTGTAGTTGATTTCGATCAAACTCAAAAGATCTGCGAAATTGGATATACATATCAAAAAAGTTGATCCATTTATGGCCCTCTACCAGTTAGTTTATGGATGGTCCAGTTGGAAATGATTACAGAGTGCATAGGTTGTTAGGAGAAATTATTATTTAGAAAAATTGAAAATTTTCAAAAGAATTGTTGTAGTTGGGAGGAAGCCTAAAAACAAAAAGGTCATTGAACAGGGGATGGAGGGAGTATTTTATTTAGTTAAGCCAAAAGGGAGATTTTGTGCCTTCACTTGCATATCATTGATAAACAGGTTGTGAAGGCTGATGACTGTGTTGGTCCGGAGGTTGAAAAGTTAGTGGCTTCACTTCCAGAGGGCGGTGTTCTTCTTCTTGAGAATGTGAGGTTCTACAAGGAGGAAGAAAAGAATGATCCTGCATTTGCAGAAAAGCTTGCATCAATAGCCGATCTTTATGTAAACGATGCTTTTGGAACTGCACATAGAGCCCATGCCTCGACTGAGGGAGTGACAAAATTCTTGAGGCCATCTGTTGCTGGTTTCCTTTTGCAAAAGGTTTGTTGGCTGATCCTTATATCCTAATAAGTATTATGACCATACTAATGTGTTCTAGAACAAGTACCAACTTTATGATGAGCACTAGTGCTTTGGTTTGATAAGCCAAAGTTTTCTGCAATTTACGCTGACCTGTTTGTTTTTGCTTTAGGAATTGGATTATCTTGATGGGGCAGTTTCAAACCCAAAGAGGCCATTTGCTGCCATCGTGGGTGGTTCAAAGGTCTCATCCAAGATCGGAGTCATCGAGTCCCTTCTAGAAAAATGTGAYATATTGCTTTTGGGTGGAGGAATGATCTTCACATTTTACAAGGCACAAGGCCTATCAGTGGGATCGTCGTTGGTGGAGGAAGACAAGCTTGATCTTGCTACTACACTCCTTGCCAAGGCCAAAGAGAAAGGAGTATCTCTCTTGTTACCAACCGATGTGGTGGTTGCTGACAAGTTTGCACCTGATGCAAACAGCAAGGTTGCTTATTCTTCATTAGTCATGCTAGCTTTCTGACTTGTGAAACATGAAAAAAAAATTCATTACATTGCATGAATGCATATTTTCTGTCTATCTTAAAACTAATATCTGGTTAGAAATTACATCAAGAACTAATTTTTTTCTTTTGACTATGCAGATTGTCCCGGCATCTGCTATCCCTGATGGTTGGATGGGATTAGATATTGGACCAGATTCTGTCAAGACATTCAATGATGCCTTGGAGACCACCAAAACTGTGATTTGGAATGGACCTATGGGTGTGTTTGAGTTTGACAAATTTGCGGTTGGAACAGAGGTGCGTTCTCTGTAAAGCTACTAACTGATCCAATAAACTTTCTTTTTCATCTGAACTGCATTGTTGTTTTAGCACCAAAAAAGCTACTTTCCCGTCAAAATAATTGTTGAATTACTTGTAATTTTTAGAGAATTCGATCTCAAAATATATACAACATACGAAACCAGACAGAATTGTGTGTGTGATATACAAGGCTGTAGAAGGGGCGAAATATTACCCAAAGCCTGATTTCTGAGAAAAGCTGGCATGTAATGATTTATGTGAATGTGATTGCATGCAGGCAGTTGCAAAGAAGCTAGCTGAACTTGGTGGAAAGGGGGTGACTACAATCATTGGAGGTGGAGATTCAGTTGCAGCTGTAGAGAAAGTTGGAGTAGCTGAAGCGATGAGCCACATCTCAACAGGTGGGGGTGCAAGTTTGGAGTTGTTGGAAGGCAAAACACTCCCTGGTGTTGATGCTCTTGATGCAGCAGTCGCTGTTCCTGTGTAAGACATATATGTAGTTAAAAAATTCTGAGTTGATTTTTGTTTATCTATATATCTGGTGTCTGGCTCACCATGCTGATGGTTATGTAAACATGAAGATGAGTTTGTTGTAGATGGTCCATCATAAATTTGAGGTCCAATTGGCCTTGGAAGATTATAATTAACACATTGGTTTTCCATTCCAAGTTCCAGGTTGCATTAGTTATATGATGGTTGATGTTTTTGTGTTTGGATAATTACAAAAAGAAGCAAGTAAGGAGTGGGTTTGATGATATAATGGTTTTAGTTAGAAGTGGTAAAATTAGGAAATGGAAGAGAGAGAGATATCAGGAGTTGGTTATGGTTGGAAATTAGGTAGGTGCATGATGGATGGATTGAAAGAAATCATATATGGAGAATTTTAGTGAAGTAATTGTGAGGTTGATAAATTAGCATGCCAAGTAAGGGCAAGTGATGAGGTTCATGCTTTGCCACTTGTTTAATCAAAAGTCAAGCTACCTTCCAAAAGGCATGTAACATGGCATCAACAATTGTCATGCATTATATTTGATGTTGCATGAGGTTTAAGTATTTTATTAATCAGTTAGATTTGATAGAAAGATAGGTAGTACTTGTAATTAGTTATAAGATATATATATATATATATATATATATTTGTAGTTTTAAATAAAATTAAAAAGTTCACATCTATTCGTATGTAATCTATTCGGGTTACATCTCAACCGACTTAAAGTAATGAGTGACAATTTGCAAGTAGCAATTATGTGTTTTACAAGGATGAGGTTGTTGGTTGTTTTACAAATAAAGAGACGATAACTCCAACTCCATCTCCATCTTATGTAATATTATATAGTTTTTAATTTTGAAAATGTGATATTGGTAATGGTTGGTAGAGAGCAGAATGAAGTGTAGATGCAATGAAGTCATCCATGGTTAGTAAGTGGTGGCTGAAAGTTGATGGAAATTATTAGTATAATTAAATATATAATTAGTCAAAAGGTAGGTGCCTCTGCAACCCAACCCAACCCAAAGGGTAAAAAAAAAGGCTTTCAATGTGTTGGTTCCCCTAACCTAGACTTTGGACATCGCCAATCACCAATCACCAATACATATGCATCTTAATTAAATTAACACTTTTCTTTTCTTTTCTTTTAACCCATATTATATATAATTTATCAATTGAAACCCATCCATCAACACAGTAATTAATAATATACCTTTTTATATATGAAAAATGAAGGCCATATCAAGACTTTTTTATTTATTTATTATTTTTGTTGTTGTTGAAAACATTCAAATCTTTTTACTGTTTTAAATATAGAAAAAGGGGCTTTCCAAGTCAACCCATTCCTATGACGTTGAGTCATTAGCTTTATCATGCCTACATCACATATTTATATATACTCTCTTCTCATTCTCATTTTCTTTCTCATTCCCATTCCCATTCTCATGCATGTTATTTAATTAGTTAATTGATTTAATCCGCTCAAACAACATATATATATATATATATATAGTTTTCGTGACATGCATAGAAAATATAGGTGAAATTAATTGTGCAAGTATTTACAACCCATGAAATTGTCAATTTTGGTAGTAAATTAAAATGGTGAAACTTAAATCCTTTTTACTGCCAGCTACCTTGTTTTATAAATGAATGATGACGACATCTATATACATGATTCAATTTAATTTAATTTGTTATTGTTGGCCACCACCAAATTAAAGCTTCTTCTATTGAAAATAAAACGTATATAATATTATTTTGTAAATTAAATGATTAATTCAGCTACCTAGCTAGTTGATAAAAAATTAATTTAACTCATGATTTATATATTATGCATATGCTGAAACCATATATAACTGAAATTAACAAATATGGTTACAAATTAAGGTGGGGCCACCAAGTTGGCCATAATCCAATCTAAGAAAATTCTATCCTTAACCATACATATATACACAGATGTAGACTGTGATCACATGAACCTATACACACACACACACTCATATATGGAGGAGCTCATAAAGGAGAAGCATGCATACAATTGAATTATCTATCTATCTATATATATATATATACTCTTAACATATGTGTATATATCTATAATGAATGAAGCTAATTAAGATGGGAGGAGGAGGAAGAGGAGGGCGTTCGCCATGCTGTGACAAGAGTAAGGTGAAGAAAGGGCCATGGAGTCCAGCAGAGGACGTAAGGCTCATCTCTTTCATTCAGAAACATGGACATCCCAACTGGCGTTCTCTCCCAAAACAAGCCGGTACCTATCTCCTTCCATTCTCAATTCTCTAGCTATATAATTTCATTCATTTTTTCCATCTTAATTATATATATATATATATATATATACACATGTGTGGGACGACATGATCCATCCATTCATTCATCTGTTAATTTATGTTATGTATGTCTATATTGGCATGCTCACAAATTAAGCCTGCTGCATATATATAGATATGATCAAATGAATTGGATTGGTTTTTTGAAGGTTTGTTAAGATGTGGAAAAAGCTGTCGTCTAAGATGGATAAACTACCTAAGGCCTGACGTCAAGAGAGGCAATTTCACTCCCCAAGAAGAGCATTCCATTATTCGTCTTCATGCCACCTATGGAAACAAGTAAACTAACTATTCACTAACCACTAATCACTAATCACATCACATGCATCCTAATTTTATATATATATATATATATATATATATGATCCTTAAATAATTACTTAATGGCCATATATTATGTGCAGGTGGTCGAAAATTGCATCTCAGTTGCCTGGACGAACAGACAACGAGATCAAGAATGTATGGAATACACATTTGAAGAAAAGATCATCATTGCTAATCACTACACCTTCCTCCTCACCTGCTAATTTCTACCATAATAGTCAAACCATCATCAGAAATCAAGAAATTTCTTATCAGCAAGCAGAAGCACATGAAAATAGCAAAGATATAGATGATCATCAGCCAACATCTTCCAACAACGACTCAGGTGATCAAGATAAGATGGTTTTTACTGGTCCACATCATGATGAAGCAATTGAGAATAATCATAGTATTGTTGAAATGCTTCCATTAGAATTTGAGGTTGATCAGTTTTGGAACATGTTGGATGACATACAATTACATGATCATAATTCCGAACCATTCATGATGAGTGGCGATCATGAAAATGGACCACAGATGGAAGTCGACAAGTGGTTGAGATTGTTAGAGGAAGAACTTGGATTAGTGGGTCCAACTCCAACAGCTGCTAGTGCTAATCAACAAGATGGTGAAATTAGCAAGAGCAAGGATAAGGATGAGGATGATAATGATAATGATGATATGATGATGATGATTAGGTGGTAGCGGTGATTGGGTATAATCCTGCAGAACATATGTGGTGCGATGAAATATCTCTGACGTCGTAATTCTCCAGCCCTTGTATTAGAACAACATATACGTATGTAGGTATACTAGTGTTATGGGTACGTGGATATATATAATATGTATGTATGAATTTGAACATGAGTAGTAGTGTTCATGTTAGACTTGGCAATTAATTACCTACTACTTTGTGTTTGATAGGAACACATGTATTATGTATATATAGTCCTAGACATTAATTAGTTATTACTGTGTTGGTCAAGGGAGCTACATATGTATTTGCTACTATGACTTTGTCGATTCAAATTCTAGTGGGTGGGTGAGTGAGTGGGATTGATGTGATCGATGCTCTTGGTCTTGGATATATATATATATATATATATATATATATATATATATATATATATATATATATATATA